TTGCCAGTTCCCAGAGTCTAGCAGTTTTTTTTTAAAATATTTTTAATGTTTATTCATTTTTGAGAGACAAACATACAGAGCATGAGCAGGGGAGGGGCAGAGAGAGAGAGAGAGACGGTGGAGGGGGGGGAGAGACACAGATTCTAAAGCAGGCTCCAGGCTCTGAGCTGTCAGCACAGAGACTGATGCAGGCCTCGAACTCACGGACCACTGCGAGATCATGACCTTAGCCGAAGTTGGCACTTAACCGACTGAGCCACTGAGGCGCCCCTATTTAAAAAAATTCTTTTTTAATTAGCAGCTTCTATTTTGGGTAGCTTTGGTGGCCTCACCACTACCCGGTTTTCTACCGTTAGAACAGGCAGCAGATGTGCAAACCAATAGCCCTCCTCCAAATTCACAGCTTTTCCTAATGTTGACTCCCATTAACAGAGTTTTACTCGGGATCCTCAGAACGTAGGGCAGCAGCATTCATCCCAGATGGGTCTTCCTGCCCAGCTGGCCTCTTGGGTTGGCAGTTTTCTGATGGATTGAACTGAAAGGGAAGATAAGGTCTGGGGTTGTGGGAGAGTTCTGGGAAATTAAACTCACTGGCTGCTTCCAAAAAAGCAAAACACCCTAACCATCAGCAGCAGCATAGAGGGAGGCCTGCCCTGTTCTTAGGCTTAAAGGGACCTTGCGTTATTAAGCCAAGGAGCAGAAGGTAGGTCTAACCTCTTGCAAGGCTAGAGGTTCACTTTGCTTATATGTCATATATTATGTTTATGAAACAAGTTCCAGCTAGTCTTTTAGATTCTAAAAATTCTTCCCAGATTCTCTCTGCGACTGTTGGTGCTGGTGTTGCTAGTTGAACGACATGTTAATTTTCAAAGTCAGTGTGAGTTTATGCCTTTTTTTTTTTTTTTGCATCCTCACATGTATTTTCAAATGAAGAAGAGGAAGTCTGCATCAGGTCTTACTACCCAAATGCCACATAAAAAAAAAAAAATCATTCAAAGTCAGACATCCACTGAGCGCCTGTTTTGGCTTGCACAGATACCTGCATCACAAGTATCACACTGCGTAATGTTCATGCACACACTCACATGCACGCAATAATCATCTCCCTGATTTTATGTGAATTTGGGACACCCACAGTTTCTTTTTCTCTTTGTGTTCGTAGTAGGTGATCAATAATGAATGAATAACAAAGATAAGAGACAAGAGTCAACCGAGCGAAGGATAAAGAACTGGGAGAGTGTAGTGCTAGAAAGCAGAAGTACAGAGAGGGTCCAGGGCTTCTCTTGAGATTTTTTTTTTTTTTTTTTTTACTACCAAGATAAAATGCTAAATGCAATCTATCATTGCTTAGATAATGATGCAGGAAACCAAACTTGGAGGCGTTCATGTTCCATGTTCTCCTCCCCTCTAGAACACTGCATTTACTATGGTTTTCCTGGTTCCAAACCCTCTTCCTTGCTTCACTCAGTGTCAATGTCACCTCCTGTCTGAAGCCTGTCCTGACCTCTGAGACTAGGCTGGGCAGTCATCTCCCACACATCTAGGGAACCCTGGACAGTAAGTGGCACCTGCAGCTGGCATGCCCAGTATCACCTGTTTATATATTCTGTCTGCCCAGTCCCCCATCCCGACAGTAATAGTCCTGACGGTTGGAATTACATCTAGTTATTCTTATATCGCCCAGCAACTATAAAAGGCCTGTATTAGTTCAAATATTTAATTAATTAGTTGATAAGCAAATGTCTTCATAAGTAGGATAAAATGGGAACCTCTTGGCTTCATTTACCTGGACATTAATATTGGTATTAAATACATATCATATGGATACTAAGAGCAGCAACCAATCTGTTTAATATTAGCAAACTGTTCATATGTATGTTTTTAAAGCAATACATGGTTTCTTTCTTATCTCCATGTTGACTGTCAATTAAGTACATATTAAGTACTTAGTATATGTCCAGAGAAATGTTTCAGAAGCCAAAAGAAGAAATCACATAGGTTTCCTTCTCTACTGGGAATATCCTGACAATTACAGTTGCTAAGTAGACATTCTATCAAGCACTTCCCTTCCCTCCCTTGAAACATGCTCTGTGAATATACATATTGTTGTACCTTACTGTATCTACGGCAGTGCTAGGCACTTCTAGGTAAAAAATAAAGATCTACTAAATGAGTGCTGGAGATAGTAGTCACTGCAGGTTCTGACAAAGGATAACATGACAGTAGAGATTTCAGGGTGATTAGTTTGATGTTATCTGAAACTGAGGGAAAGAAATACTGGCGGGGGCAGTGCCTGGGTGGCTCAGTCGGTTAAGCATCTGACTTCGGCTCAGGTCATGATCTCACGGTTCGTGATCTCAAGTCCTGCATCGGGTGAGCTTGTGCCCCACTTCGGGTGAACACGAGCTCTAGTTCTCTCTGTCCCTCCCTCTCTCTCAAAAAAATCCCTCTGCCCCTTGTGGGATTCCTTCTCTCTCTCTCTCCCTCTGCCCCTCACTCTCTCTCAAAAAAAAGCAAGAAATACTGGGAGAAATTTTTAGTCCAGAATTTCCTTCCTTTTGTCTTACCAAGGTCACCTTCTCCTTCTAGTGATGTGATGTAAATTCATGGAGAGACAGCTATTCCAATGTAAGCCCAACCCAAGGCCAGTTACAAAAGGAAATCAGTGTTAAGAAACAGTACATGAGATGTGAGTTATGTTTGTAAAACTTTTTAAAAAGTAAACATACTAGGATCTTCTGATACAATTGGAAGTATGTCCCCGTGTAAGAAGCCTCCTTTGGTAAGCATGTACTTAGCTGTACTTGTTATAATGAGACAGGCGTTCATGAAAACATTCCATTGGCTCCTTTGGAATTACACTTTGGATTGACGTTACCTTTATAAGAATATCCTTACGGTGGCAATTCTTAAGTCTTTGGGTGTCAGGCTTGGTTTTAAGGAACAGAGAAAAGACACTGGGAGCCATGAGTCCTGCCATGCTGGGTATTGAAGCTGGGTATGACAGAAGTTGGCAAGAGAGGGAAGGACTCCAGATCCAAGGCCATGGGCTCCAGACCCATGATCATTTCACTCCACAGCCCTGCATTGTTGTGGGGTCATCTTATGAACTGGTCATGCTTCTTAACATCGTGAACATTTAAAAAAAATTTTTTTTTCAACGTTTATTTATTTTTGGGACAGAGAGAGACAGAGCGTGAACAGGGGAGGGGCAGAGAGAGAGAGAGGGAGACACAGAATCGGAAACAGGCTCCAGGCTCCGAGCCATCAGCCCAGAGCCCGACGCGGGGCTCGAACCCACAGACCGCGAGATCGTGACCTGGCTGAAGTCGGACGCTCAACCGACTGCGCCACCCAGGCGCCCCCATCGTGAACATTTTAAAGGCCCATTACATTTGGCTTCAGGTATTTGTCTCCAGTTAAGTCACTCACTCTTGTATCCACACAAAATGTGTTCTACCCCAACCTGTTGGTACCCAGGAGTCAGTTATCTGCAAGGGCAGCTTTCTGGCTGCAGCTTGTGGCCACATGACCCTCTCCCAACTTTCCTCTTCTGCTTCTGCAGGCCAAGTAAGGAGGCCAAGCTCATTGTCGCCGGTGCGGGCACGCTTCATGGACTCCAGACAGACATAACTTTGGCTATGTCCCATTTTCTTTTCTTTTCCTGCAACTCCCCTTTTATTGGCAGAAGTTGATTGTATCAACTAGGTAATGAAAATAAAGATCAGGTCTTCCTACTGGCATCATAAAAACATTTTAAAAATCTCAATACAATCAGTCATAAAACCATAGAATTTTTTTTTTTTTTTTTTAATTTTTTTTTTTTTTTCAACGTTTATTTATTTTTGGGACAGAGAGAGACAGAGCATGAACAGGCGAGGGGCAGAGAGAGAGGGAGACACAGAATCGGAAACAGGCTCCAGGCTCTGAGCCATCAGCCCAGAGCCCGACGCGGGGCTCGAACTCACGGACCGCGAGATCGTGACCTGGCTGAAGTCGGACGCTTAACCGACTGCGCCACCCAGGCGCCCCAAAACCATAGAATTTTGAGTCTCGAAGTTCTCAAAGCCAGCCGCCTGTTCTACTATCACTCAGTGTAAACCCTGAATTGCCAGGTTTGGCCTCCATTCTGAACTCCCACCTCCATTCACTGCACATTCTGCTTCTTGACTTCTTGGCATCTTGACATCTTCCTGGATTCTGAATTCCTGGTTTATTTTCCTATTTGTGGCCTCTCTTGGCTTCTGGGAACTGAAGTTGAGTTCTATTTCTCTAGCTTGAACGTGCTTCTTCCAACCTCAAATGCGATTCTCAATGGCTATACTACCTACACTCAGCCACCTAATCTTGCCTGGCCACCAGGGTGTTCTATCTTAGTTTAGGAGGCTATGAACTCTGCCACAAGTTGATCCTGGCTCCTAAAGGAGGGCCCAAAATCTTCTGTACCATCAGTGACCCCAAAGGTCACCAGCAGCTGAATTTATCCATCAGTGTAAGTTACTAATTTTCTTTTCCTTTTAGCAAAGCTTAATCTGAAATCCTAATAATGTTAACATGCACTACGAACAGCTCTGACTCAGAGCTTGAGCAGACATGTGGTTATGGCAATCAAGACCATGGGTGGTAATATTTACCACTTATTTACTGGGCAGCCTGGGGATGGAGACAGAAAACATGACTCTGCAAACTGATGTGAATAAAAAATCACAAGGCAGGGGCTCATGACTTCCAGCCGCTCCACAGGACAAAGAGGCAGCAGTAGCTAAATGTAAGAAAGCAGTAGCTTTCAAGGTTGGCTCGGCAACAACGAGAACTTTCAGCAGCTCATCCTATGGAGCAGCAAGGGCCTTCGCAACAAGCGATGCATCTGCAAGAAGCCTGTGTGCCTTGCCCCGCCTTGTTTATTTTTCCTCTTTTCTTTTCCCCTCACTTTGCTTCCTCCCAACTTTGTAGACCTTTGGCCTGCCTGCACCTTCGTGCAAGGACTGGCTGTTACTTACCATGCCCTTTAGTGTCAGATCTGCTAAGGGAGACCGGTTGCCATGGAAGTCTGGCCAAACATGTAAATCAACAGTGAGGAAACCCACAGGCCGAGCCTTCTTAATCAGATCCAGGTGACTGTTCAAATATGCATATACACTTTGGCATCTGGAAGAGACGTTGATTTTGTTTTCAAAAGGGGGGTAGGGTCGGGAGGCAAACTCTTCGGCAGAAAGAAACGATCTGTACTTCCCTATCAGATCCAGAAACAAAGCAGAGTCCCCAACCTTCAGCAAAGAAACTACCCAAACCCCCAGAAACCAGCATTCTGTACTCTCAGATCATGAAGTGCCATCACCAAGAACAGGCAGCATGTCCTGGTGCAAAGCGGAAAGGCTTGGAATCAGAAGACCAGGGCCAGGAGGGGCTTTACCCCTAGTAGGTGTGTGACCATGAGAAAGTTACTCAAACTTTCTGAACCACTTTCTTCGCATCTGTAAAAACAGATATCATAATCCCTGTCCAACTTACCTCATGGTTATTGTCAAGATCAAAGGAAGCTATGCATGTGAAGATACGGTATTTTGTAAACGGGACAATAGTGGACATATGTAAAGGATTTTTAAAAAATCTGTGTTGCTAATTGTAACAATAATGATGGGGTGATGAGTATAAACCTAAGTTCTTGGACTCAGCATAGGAGCTGGGCCACAGGAAGTGACAGCACAGAGGAATGCAGTTAGATCAGGAATTAGGAGACTTGATTTCCTACCCAAAGGCACCAAATGGCGTCACGTTTGTTCTTGCTCCTTTCTAAGGCTCAGTCTCTTTGGATGCAGGATGAGGGAGTCATACTACCTCTCAGTCTCCACATGTCTGGGGGAGAGGGAGACAGAGGTGAGGAGACTGAGAGCTACGGTAGTCCTGGCCCTGGCCCTCTGGTAGATCTGGGCTCAGATCGGTAGCTGGGTGACATGGACCAGTAACTCTCCCACTGTGAACTTCAGTTATCCCATATAAAATGGGTATCATAATACCTATCTCACGGAGCTGAATCTTACTGCAAGGCACAAAGGTTAAATTTGGTCGCCCTTCCCCTCTTTAAGTGTGCTTCATTCTCAAAGTCTTGTACCAATGATTCTAGAGGAAAGTGGGTTTATCAGAGGGTGGCATCCATGCCTCTTGTCACTGGTGACCTTGGAAAGATCTCACGGCTTGAACAATGGCAGGAAGAAAAGTATAGGAAATCAATGTCCAAGGGAGGGTAATATCTAAGGAACTCAAGATGACAGTATTTGAATTGCAAAAATGCTTTAGGAGTGTCGCTCACAGATTTCTAATTCCAGTTTTGTGACACTGTGAATGTTCCCATGGAGCCCATGAAGTTCCCAAAAGTTTTCTAAACTAACATTAAAGGAAGAAACAAACAACTAGAGCAGTGTTTTTCAAACTCTTTTGTTAAATAAAAATTTTTCTTAATTTTTTTAATGTTTATTTGTTCTTGAGAGAGAGGCAGAACGCAAGTGGGGGAGGGGCAGAGAGAGAGGGAGACACAGAATCCGAAGCAGGCTCGAGTCTCTGAGCCATCAGCACAGAGCCTGACGCAGTGCTCAAACCCACAAATTGTGAGATCATGACGTGAGCTGAAGTTGGACGCTTAACCGACTGAGCCACCCAGGTGCCCTTGGTTAAATAAAAATTTTATGTGGAACTCCACTATAGGAAGGATAGAAAACCAAAACTGCTCCATGTAAGTGCCAGAGTGAGGGAGTATGTCTGTGTGCACATGTGCAAGCCTATGCAAGATGCTCAAAGAAGTGAAGACAAGTGACCAAGTTCAAATTTAAACAAACCCTTCTCTGAGGGATTCTGAAGCCATATCTGTAACCCAGATCGGAAAAGACTTGTCAAAGCCCACATTCGAACTCTGCTTTAGCATGATTCTCTGACAGTGTTAGGAGAGGATCCTGGAGGCCTCCCTGGAAGGTAGGGCCGGAGCCATATACCTGGGTAGAATACGATCACATCCTGGTTTTCTATTTCCCAACTCTCTCTGCTCACGGTCCAAAAGGAACATTGACCACAAAAGCCACAGGAACGTCCATCCGAGCCAGAATCCAGAGTCTGCACTGATTCTAGCAACATCCGACTTCAGAATACCATCACTGCACTTAAAGCGAAGGGCTTTTTTTTTTTTTTTTTTTTTTAAAGCACACATCTATAAATCTTTTCATTTGCCTCTCAAGGAATCTTAGGGCAGGGCATTTGGTTTCAGACATCTGGGTCAATAAGAACCTATAGGCCTAATTACTATTGATTTGTCATTGTCTCATTTACCGTGGGTCTTTGCAAACAGTGAGATTCGTTTAGCCTCTTACATATATGGTCACTCATGCACTAATGAGATCCCTGGGGGACGGGCCATATGCTTACCCCTTTGACTCCTAACCTCCTCACAGCTGTATGTTTATTCTTTGAATGCGGCCATTCTCCTGCACGTTTTTCCAATTATACCTTACCATGTGTGCTATCTGAGTATATCATTCAAAATGAAATGCACTTGGAAAACATTATAATAACAAATGCACATCATTATTCACATAATTTTAACCTTACATGATGCCTTTTTTGGTTCTGACTTTGTTTCATTTTGTATTTTTTTTTTTTATTTTTTATGTTTTTATTTTTTACCAATTCCTTCTCAAATGGCAGTCTGACCTCTCCCAGCTCGGGAATCACACATCAACTGTTTCAAGTGTGTGCTTCTCCTTCCCTCTCACAACCCCCAGGCTCATGTATCTTCGGTCAGAGGGAGAAATTCCTGCTGCCCCGGTCCCACTGCATATGTTGAAGAAAACACAGTTGCAACCTTCACACAGTATATTCACTGTGTAGCAGCTGGGTGGTCAGGTACACAAATTCCCTAAGCTTCATTAACTTTTCTATATTCAGGACTAATTCTTTTCCCTTACAGGCTGCTGTGAAGATTCAATATAGAGCCTCAGCACTGTACAATGAGAGGTAATGAATAAATAGTTCCCCCTCCCTTCCCCTCGTAGGAAATTCATTTCTAGCTTTGAAACATCCAAGAGTCAGGGAAGACTGTTCACAGACTTTATTATTTATAATCTTAGATGAGGATAGCACCCCTGGAATCTCTACTCTCTCCTCCCTCTCTATAAATCAGTTAATTCTTTGGATTCTTGGGCTGCCCAGAAGTGTAGTGACCATAATTTCAAAGCAAAAATCATAATACATGGTCTAGAAGAAGACATGTATGTCCTTTCTAGGAGTTGAGGAAGTCTCTCTGTCTTCAGTTCCTCACCTCTTGACCCGCTGCAATACGTAGTCTACTGAAACTGGTCCCACAGTGAGGAACGATAGCCTTTGCTTCCAACTCCAATGGACCATCTCCTGCCTTTATCTTACTTGAATTCTCTTTCATTCTGTACCATTTGACCACTTCTTACTCATTGGTTCTCTTTCTCTTGATTCCAGATACTATACTCCTTTGGTTTTCGTACCTCCTCTCCAGCTGGTTCTCTTTCGTTACTTGTCCCTTAAATATCTTAAGTCTCCCAGAGACTTGTCCCTCTTTCCATACCCTTGGATGATCCCATCTTCCTCTCGTGGCTCCAGGTACCATCTAGGGCTGAGGACTTTCAAACATATGCTCGTGTCTCCTGCTCATTTCTTTCCTGAGTTCCAGGTCAGATAGCCAACAACCCAACCAATGGTTCCTCTTGGAAGTCCATTCTTGAAATCTTGCCCAGTCCCAACTAGGGTTCCTACACTCCTTCCTTGGTGATTCTTCTAAAATGCAACTTGGGGTGTTGGGTGTTGGGGAGGGGGGTGTCTGGGTGAAATCAAGTCCCACTCTTGATTTCAGCTCAGGTCATGATCTCGTAGTTGGGGGATTGAGCCTCCAGGTCAGGCTCTGTGCTAACAGGCCTGTGCCTGCCTGGGATTCTCTCTCTCCCTCTCTCTTTCTCTCTGCCCCTTGTCTGCTTGCGCACACTCTCTCACTCTCTCATTTTCTCAAAATGAATAAGTAAACTTTAAAATTCAACTGTGATCATGACTCACACCCCTACCTAGAATCCTTCAGGGGCTGCTCTCCATTATCCTCAAGATAAAGCACAAACTTTCTTGTCTGGCATAAGATGTTATTCATTGTCTAGCTCTCCCTACATGGCACTGTGTTACATACATGTCTTCCAACGCAGAATACCAGAACTGGAATTTCTGGGTTGTTTACAACTCTATGTTTCACTGTACCACTGGTTTGCCAAGGGCGGATCTCTGGAGTCATATGGACACGATGTTCCAGGCACTCTGGTCTACACCTCAGAATGGAGCGGGCAAGAGGAAAAATATCTTGGGACACCACCCCCCTTCCATGTGCCAGGCACTGTGCTGAGCAACAGTAACCACCGAGAGGGAGAAAATGGAGAATTTATTTCCTAAGTCAGCACAGTCCTCAGTCTTTCTGAGGGGACCCCAATGCCCCGAGTGCTTTCTAATCCTTGCATGCAAAACAGAAGCCAAAGAAAGGCATTATGATATGTAGCTAATTTCTGTTTAAGAAACATTTCTCATTCAAGAGCCATCAAGAATTTAGTGATTATCCTGGCACATCCTAGGGGATGAAAGGTGTTAATATCATCACCCTCGTTCCATGACTGTCCTAGCTCAGGGGAGCCCAAGTAAATACTTGCTGACAGACTGATGGCCCCAGTTGTCAGAATGAGGGGCCGAGACTCAAGGAGCCATAAAGGCCAAGGAAGCAATCTGAGAACACCAGAGGAGAATGGAAAGTGAGAATAATCTTTAGAAGTGGAGTCGAAGAGGTCCCTTTAATCCTCATTTCCTCATCAGAAATCATATGACTTCACCCATATGAGGACTTTAAGACACAAAACAGTTGAACATAAGGGAAGGGAAACAAAAGTAATATAAAAACAGGGAAGGGGACAAAGCATAAGAGACTCATAAATATGGAG